GTCCACCGGCGCGTCGCACGTCGCGTAGCAGGCCAGGCTGCGCTCGTTCAGCTTCATGGCGGCCGGGCCTGTCCCCACCCCGGAACAGCGTGTCTTTCACCAGACCTCCCCAGCAGTTCACAGCAGTCTTTGGGGGCAGGGGGACTGAGGCTCAGATCAGACGGGAAGCAGCCTGTGGAACTCACACAGCTCCTAAGAAGTAAATAAAGATGCTGGGCAAGGTGTCAGATGCCTGTAATCCCAGTATTCAGGAGGCTGAGGCAGGAGGATCACCAAGAGGTCAAGGCCAGCCTGGGCTACATAGTGAGATTCTGTCTCGAAAAAAACAGAGAAAGTACTCAACCTTGATTCTGCCTGGCCTCAGGAGCAAGTCCACAGCCCTCCTATTGGTCTGGGTCTCCCAAATACTGTGCAGAATTCCTGCTGCAGGCCACATACTTAACATACATAAACTCATGCCTCACAGCAAACTGCAGTGGGCAGGAAACTGGACTTACTGCCATTGGGCATATGGGGAAACAGGCAGGGTGGTTAATCATTTACCCAGGGTCACAGCGCTCTGAGCACATGTAAAATTCAACCCCGGCCTCATTATAGGCCCTGTGATTTTTACCATTCCCGGGATAAAAGCCACAGAACAAGATCTGGTTTCTTGGCTGAGGCCTGGTTTCTCCATCTTAAAACAGGGATGTGAAGAGAATCTACTCCAGGGTTGCAGGAACTTCCTTCATTCATCAGAGATGAAGCACCTGTTGTGTGCCAGCACTGTCCTAGGCCCCACGGACACAGTGATAAACCAGATGGCTGAGGTCCACCCTCCTGGTGCTGACCCACTAGTGCAGGTAGGAGGAGCACAGAATGGACAGATCCTGGAGGGGGAGGAAGAAGCCACGGGGCATGGGGAAGAGCAGCATGAGGCAGTGGGAACAGTGTGCAAAGGCCCTGCAGCAGGAACCTGCTGGTATGCTGGTAGGGAGGCAGCAGGACCTAAGCAGAGGACTAATGCCGTACAGGTAGCCACAGTGGTGTCATCTACCTTCCCCCATGCCTGTCCCCAGGGGTTCCCTGGCCACTTAGAGGACCTGCACGCCGCATTCCCAGCCTAGGACAGCAGCTAAGGTTCCCAAGAGATGAAGCAGGTAAAGCCCCTGGGATGCAGTTGGTGCTCAGTTCTTGTTCACTTGCCTGGCTGGGTGGTGCCTTGCTCTGCCCTGGAGGAATGAAGTCAGGGTGGTGGCTCTCCTGGGAGCAAGACAGGGAGGCCCAGCCAAGCCAGTGACCCAGGGCGGAGGGGTAATTGTCACCTCCTGCCTGCCTGGGTGGTCAGGAAAGGCACCCTGGCAGAGGCGATGAGTTCTGGCTGAGATTAGCCTGTCCCAGTCTGGAAGCAGGGCTGAGGCCTGATACCCTGAAGGCTCACAGGGGTTCCTTCCTTGAGCTGTATGACTTCAACAGGAAGCTGTCCCTCTCTGAGCCACAGTTTCTCCCTGCAAAATGGGAATCACATATCCCCTCTCCCCCAAATGACACCCATGTGGGCCCTGACCCCATTTCTCCCAGGAACTTCCTGTGCCACCTGCCCATCTCCCTCCTACCTTGCAGGCTACCTTCTGCTCAGCTCTGGTTGTACTCGGTTCAAGGGTGGCTCTGCAGTCTCCAGGCTGGGTGGCCCTGGGAAAGCCGCTGGCCTCTCCAGGCCTCTAATTGCATGGCTGTAGAATGGGATCATGACAGCACCTGGTCAAGGCATGTGACCCCTGCAGTGGCAGCCGTGGATGTCCTTCTGGGCTCCCCAAATGCTCCCTCTAGTGCATCCTGTCTCAGCAAATGGCCCTTGGTATCTCTGTCATCCTAACATCCAAACACTAAAGCCAGGTGACTCCAGTGTCCCTTGCTGCCTCAGCTCCAGCCACTCCAGCCTCCATCTGTACCATGCCTTGCATGCCCTGGGCACATACCCACCTCAGGGCCTTCTCCCCGCTGCAATGCCCTTGTGTGGCCAAGTCCTCATCTTTGCCTCAGCCTGACCACCACTCTTCAGAGAGGCAGCCCCCAACTGTGCACCCAGGAGCTCCTGCCACCCTCCTGTACACCAATCCAAGATTACCAGTGTCATTTCCTCCCACTGCAGGATGGTGGGGCTTCCCTCTAAACCCCAGTGGCAGGTGCACAAATACCTGTAGGAGGAATCAAGGAGTTACCTCTCAGCATGGCCAAGTAAACAGCCCCAAAGGGACTGATCTTGGGGTATCCCCATCCCATTAAGACCAAGGAGGAGCAACTTCCCTGGTGCCCAGCAGCCCTCCTTCCCCTGCTGCCCAGATGGGGCCAACCTGATCCAAGGTCCCAGCCCACATCAGACTCAGCTCTCCTATGGCCCCTGTCTCCTACTGGCAGACAAGAACCGGGAGGGCAGGGAGTTGCAGATTGCTTACTGTGAGCCCTTGGCCCCTGCCTGCCTTATCTCTGGTGCTGCTTTCCAGCGAGTTCAGAGTCCACGGCTGCTGCTGTTCTCGCTGCCACAGCCTCAGGCACCGCTGCTGATTCAACAGCCTGCGACCATGCAGGAAGCCAGGCCACCCCCACCCCCAGGCTTTGCACCGGGGGCCAAGTTCCTGCCTCAGTCTCGGGCCTGGAAGACCCTGGACAAGTCACTTCACCTTCCAGAGCCTCGGTTTCCCCATCTGTTAAGCAAGCTGTGAAAAGGATTTTCAATGAGCTGAAATAAGGACATCCCATGGGTAAACTAGGGGAAAGCCACTGAAAAACATTAGTTGCTCTGAGTTGGGGCTTTTACAACTGCATCTACACAGGGAGAAACGTGGACTTCCATTCCCCTTGGGAAGGTTGACTCAACTAGTTAATTCTACAGTCGTTTTTGCAAACTGCCTGATGGGTAGCACACATGCAGGAAAGGAGCTGTCAGAAAGGCAAGTCTTTAGCCCAAGGCGGCAGGGGCACGGCTGGCCCAGGTCAAGGGGAAACTGAGGCATAGCATTTTGCTACTCTGCGTGGAAGGAAGCCAAAACCACAAGCCCTGGGGAATGAGACTAGCTGGTCCGAGTGCCCCATGCAGTGGGCGTGGGAGAGCGCATGGCGGGCACAGAGTGAAAACGTGCTCAGTACCCCAAGAGCCGCCGTCCAGCGCTGTCCAACAGGGACCCCAAGGACGCCGGGACCTCTGGGCTCAGGGCAGCCCCTGGGCAGCAGCTGTGATGCACGGTGAGCTGCCCCCGCTGCCCTCTGTCCCTCTGTGCCCGAGGGCGTCTGGAGAGTTCCTAACGGGCTGGGACAGGGGGTCTGGCCGGGGTCGCCAGGCAGCTGGGGAAGGAAGGTTCCCTGCAGGCGGCCGGAGGTCACCGCGGCCC